GCCTCATCGCCTTTGAAAATGTCCACCGCAGTTGTGGACGAAACGTCAGGAAGAAAATCCGATAGACCACGGCTTCAAAGCCCTCAAAACATTCCTAAATGTAATTTAACCGGCCGTGAAAGCCTTCATAGTCTGATAAAGCAAGGCCGTTTTGCGACCATCAAGTTCTGCAAATGTGTGATTTTTCGATAGCAATTTAAACCCGCTTTGTCTCCATCAGGACTCAATTTTTCACATCCTTTCGGTGAATTCACTTCAAAGTGGATATCGAATCACTTTTCTCGAAGTAAAAACCTCACTGAAGCGCTTTGCCCGTTCGGAAAATGGAAATTTCGCTCCCATATCGGGAGAGGTTTATATAAGTCGCAATTTGTCATCGTAGACAACGATGTTAAACGAACGATGTTCGATGTTAAACGAAATCCTCCTTCGTTGGAAAATGCGGAAAAGATGCCCAAGTAAACACATTATTTACCCGGAGACTTGGCGTCGAAAACAGCCAAAGAAAGTTGCGGTTCGGTTGCATAATTTTATATGCTTTGCCGAAGAAACCGAATTAAAGCTAATGTAGAGTGAAACTCTGCAGCAGCAACTTTAGGGCACTTTAGGGGAGTGGCGGACAAAAAATTAGTATATAAATCCTGGCCTCATTTCAAATTCGCACTTCAAATCCTGGCTTCTCAACAAATTAAGAGAATGAAAAGACGCTTACTCGCCGGGAATTTGCATGGGAAAAGAACTGCAGTTCAGTGGGCTTATTATGCAAAACAAAAAGGTTGTAAAAGGAAAATTTGCATAAGAGCCCGCTCCGTTTTCACCACAGTCAATTGGATGCAAATTGGGTTATTAGATACTGTTGAAGTCGGTTTTGGTTCTTGATGGAAACTCATCGGGAACAAAGAAGCGCAAAATAAAGTATTTTCAAATTTGATTTATCTAACCTAACTAGTTAACATGGTTTCTTGTTTTGAAACAACATGATTAAGGAGAGAAAAGCCAACGTTCAGCTTTCTTTGAACGCTTGAAGACAATGGCTGAGTTTCCCCATTTTTGTGCCCGAAACAAATGGGCCCCGCCATAAAATAAGCCAATTTCGCTTATGCATTCAAATGGAGGACCTTCTGTTCACTTAGACGAGATAAATTTGGGGGTTTTGGACCCGAAACAAGCCGCTTTGTGAATGCTGAATATATGGAGAAAGTTTCCAGTAGACTAAGACTAGGTCCAGTTCAATGGGCCTGATTGGGAAAACAAACAAATCTAAACCAGAGCTGAAAGGAAAGCAAAGTTTCCTAGTAGAAAGACACCAGCTTGATTAATGCCCTGGAAATTTTGGAACCGATATCGATAGGAAGAATGTTATATGGGGCGCACATGACCTAGTTTACCTTTATGCCACCCCGATCGCGGTTCTTAGGGTAATGATATGAATGACGGGGGATTTTTCCTGCTTACCGGCCTGTCTCGCTTCTTTGCAAGCTTCGTACATGCCCTGTCGTATTTCCTGATAGTCGTCAGCGATAGTTTCGCCAACGGTGACGAATCTTTCCACGGCCAAATTAACGGCTTGACCAACGCGCGCCACTGCCGTTGGTCGCAACATCCCCACTGTACCATGCTCAACAAGGGAGGAAATCTGAAACAACCAAAAAAACCACGAGTTTATTCATACGCTTCGCTTCTATTTCAATCGCTATTTTATCGTCACGGTTTTGCTATAGTTGCCATGTTTCTGCAAGTCAAACACAGGCTCCAACAGATAGCCTTCTCTGTCACTCGCATTGCATTTCGCATGTAGCATGTCCATGGCGATACAGATGCAGACAACCAAAAAAACCACGAGTTTATTTCAAACGCTATTTTATCGTCGTGGTTTTGCTATAGTTGCCATGTTTCTGCAAGTCAAACACAGACTCCAACAGATAGCCTTCTCTGTCACTCGCATTGCATTTCACATGTAGCATGTCCATGGCGATACAGATGCAGGCAAGTAGTTCTGATATTAGCAAGCCCATTAATTAATTCCCGATTGATAATGACTGTGATCCATTGGGCCTTGAACTTTAAAGGCGTCCGACTGCAAGGTTTCCTCAATCCAATCAAACATGTACATTGACGAAAACGAACTGGGTCAAAGCTGGACTAACAGGATTGCATGATATTGATGATGTTTGCGTTGCAAGGACTGATGGGCTTAAAGTAGTTTATCCAGTTTGCCGGCGACTCGGCGTCCTTTGGAACTGTTCTAAGCCAGAAGTAGAGAAAGTTCCAAAAATAGCTGCGTCGAAAACATGTGATAAATTACCCATTTGCCCATTTGCAGCATTATTTGTCAAAAGCCCTGAATACTCTGGCGGAGTCCTACAGAAGCCGAAGCGGTCCTGAGGGACTGCGTGAAAGTTCTGCAGCGCATAGTTGCTACAGCGGGTACCTAAATCGGGAATATTTGGATTTAGGTCCGCCCTAATTGCGCAAGTTTAATTATTTGGGGGTTTGGGTTGAAACGGAAGCTGAAAATTTGATTTCTCTTACTCTTGACAAGGTTTGACTGACCCAATTTTTCGAAAACCCTGATTATGTTGATCTAAAAGGGACCAGAAAGTCCGATGAGTTTTTGAGCCATCCGCAGGGATTCGGTTTACAGTCGGGCCTCGCTAATGTTTCAGCCAATGCCTGAGACAACAGCAGACAAAATTTCGTCCCTGCGGATTTGGCCCGAAATCGGATACCTGGAAATACACGCAAAAAGGAAACCGGTGGAAATCCAGCTCAGCTGCGAGTTAGTTATTAGCAAAAACTTTTAGGTGAAAACTGGTCTGGTTGCGGTTTTTCTTCCCCGATCGGATGGTGTTTAGCACCGATGGGTTAAGTTATGATCGATGTCCGCTCGGGGTCAGCCGTCACGAGCAACATTAACACGTTTTGCAAGTGATTTATGGCGGCCCGCAATGTTCAACGTCTAGTTTTACATATTTAGGCCCCAAAGAAATGCTTTTGAATGGCGAATCAGGCCAGATCAAGTCAGTACATTTTGAATAAAAACTGGGAGAGTTTGCGGGGGTTTAAGCCGTCGTGGAGAAGAATTTCTTGCAGACTTCGCAGGCCCGAGTGGCTGGCTTCAGAAGCAAACAGCTTGGAACGATGGCTGTTTAAAAATATATCTATGGCACGGTTGGAGGAGGTTTTTCCAACAGTCCATTAATCACTGTTACTACAACCGGATACAGGTAAGTTTCCGGCCAGTTAGCTGGCAAACACTGAATTGCTAGAGGGCTTTTGACTATCACCGTGTCCTTTAGCAGGGAAAAGTGTCCGAATTCGATTAGCCGAGAAGGGAAAAAATGCCTATTAATCATGTTTCAGCTGACAATGTTTCTATTAATTTTTAATTCGCTGTTGGACGAAACCGACCGCCGGATCATTAATTATTCGATCAATTAGCGGGCCCTGAAAAAACAGCAGCCATTTTATTTGGGCCAAGAGCAGAACAATCGATGAGTTTTTTCCAGATTGTGCCCAGTTTTTGCCTTAAACGCTAGCAGAATGCCGCCTTCCTTCAAGCGGTTTCTTCCAATTTTGAGTTATTTTACTTGGCGCTTACAGTGTTTCAACTTTATTTTGGGCGCAGCATTGATCTTTAAGCGATTAATAATTCCTACTCAATTGGACCCCGACGGGCCAGCCATTAGGTAAAGCTGCAATTAATCATCGGTGGTAATTAATCCAGCATTTGTTACGGAAAAGCCACAGTTTAGTCTGCAGGATTTCGGCATTGTGGCCACGTGTATCAGCCGAATATCCTAAAGATAGCAAGCGAATATAGTCGATATCTTCATCAAGCAAATGGAGCCATTTAATCAAAGGGAAATTGGGCTCGGGGCCGTTATTCCTCAATTAGACTAAGTCGAGTTTATACACCTAGTGCTGCTTATCTTTTTGCGCCCTGTGCTTTGTTAGAGTGGCGCCTTTTTACTCGATACTTATGCAACTTGATTAAAACGCAAAATTCGAACGACACGTGGATGAAAATGAGACAATAGAAACTGGCAGGTTGGTGTTTGATTATCGCAGCAGAAAATCCATTTCTAAACTGAATTGAATGGAAACCAGGCCATCGTTTGTGTTCCACTGTCAAGCAAGCACGAAAAGTGGAGATTTATCGGCCGCCTAATCAGTCCCCGTGTCTGTTTTATTTGTCCCGGTATTGGATGGATTTTCCCGAAATTAGTCCAATCCAAATTGGTCAAAAGGCGCATTTAATAACATGGAAATCTACTGTGTTGGGCACTGAGAGGGGAACTTGCCACCTGAAACTGGGACACTCTGTATTCACAAAAATTGTTCTAAAAGAACACATCTACTAAAGGCCAGATGTTGTCCAGAAATTAGGGGGTTTTTCCAATGAATATTCCAGTAATAATTATTGTATATACTTTCCTGACTGTGTTTCAATTCCAAATCAAATTCATTCCTAGGTTTTAGTCACTTATTGTCTCTATTTATCAATCAAAATACGTTTCGGTGTATTTTTCCACCATCATCAGTTTTTATGTGTAGCGTTGTTGCTGCTTTAAGCCTTGG